TGTGAGTTCAAGACCAGCCTGGGCTACAAAGTGAGCTCAAGGCCAGCCTGAACTGCATAGCGAGACCTTGTCTCAAAAAGACAAAAAAAAAAAAAAAGTTTGCTCTTATGCATTTTAGGAACCTAAGTGATCATTCCCTGGGCAGACTAGGTAGGCGATCCAGGCTGGTAGGTGACAGGTGACACGTGGGACACATGTCCTCAAGGCATTTCTTTTTTTTTTTTTTCGTACCAGGAATCGAACTCACAACCTTGTACTTGCCAGGCAGGCGCTGTGCCACTGAGCTAAATCCCCAGCCCCAAGGGATTTTCTTATCCATGGAGTCTTTTGAGGAAATTAGCATGGTAGACTCACAGCTGTGGCTTAACAGTGGCACACACCATGCACCTATTGCTTTGCCTCCAGCTTCATCCTGCAGAGTATTTTGCTGGCTGGTGGGAAAGGGAGGGAAGCTGCCATTCTGGAGCCTCCTCTGTGCACCCTGGCCCGGGCTCCCAGCGCTGAAGAGGGGTGCGCTGTGGAGCCTGCCTCAGCCCTGCGCCTGCTGGACAGAGACAGAGAGCTGGGTCCTTGCTGGCTGCTTCTTACAGGTACTGACCTCCCCGCCTCATGTGGCCTCTCATAGCAAGAAGCCGCTACAGAGCGAGAGAACAAGCGGTATGAAAACGAGTATGAAACGGCCCGGAGGGAAGCGATGGAACGGATACGAGCAGAAGAGCAGAGGAGGCAGCTGGAGGATAAGCTGCAGGCCGAGGCGCTGCGGCAGCAGATGGAGGAGCTGAGGCTGAAGGAGGTGGAGGTATGTGGGAGCGCCCTCTGCTGCGGCTTAGGAGTGCGGAAGGGAAATGGAAGCCGCCGTCTCGAAAGATCGAGCGGGGCGGTGATTCTGAGAGCTGCAGCGACAGCTGGGCTCCCGCAGGTGCTCCTGTCCGTGCCTCTCCCCTCCCCCTCGGTTGTGTGGCCGGCTCTAGAACATAAGACCCGGAGGTGGTACCTGCCCGGTAGGTGTGTTTACGCAGCTTCGAGAGCCTTAGAACGTGGGTTTCCAGTGCACTGAGCAGGCGTGGCTTAGTTGGGTGATCTAGCACGCAGCTCACCACTGGAGGCAGATTCTGGCCCAGGAGGGGTTTTGTTTTGTTTTGTTTTTTGTTTTTTTCCGGTACCAGAAATCGAACTCATGACCTCATGCTTGCCAGGCAAGCGCTGTGCTGCTGAGCTAAATCTCCAGCTCCAGGAGGGTGTTTTTTTGACAGTACTGCTTGGTTGAAGCACTCTCTCATTCAGGTGAGGGAGACCCCATCCTTTGACCTCCCATCCTCTTTGGCCTGAATGTTTTAATAACTATATACTTGGTGCCTCCCACTCATTCCGGGGTGCCGGATAGAGCATGCACAAGTCTTACTTCCGCCTCGCCATGGTTGCCCATCACAGGAAGTCGACGGGGCCAGGAGAGGGTCTTGCAGGAAGTGGCTCTGCTGAGATGGGACAAACAAGGGGCCGAGAGCCCCAGCGATGGAGGGGATCCTGAGCAGCGCAGCGACACCCTTGTGTAGGGCCTGCCAGAAATGGAGATGAAGAACAGAATATGTGATTGCCACCGTCTCAGTCTGGTTTAATCTTTGTAACCACAGGCGACCAAACTGAAAAAGGAGCAGGAGAATCTGCTGAGGCAGCAGTGGGAGCTGGAGAGGCTGGAGGAAGAGAGGCGGAGGATGGCAGCCCTGCGGCAAAAGGCGGAGCTGGGGTGCGTGTCCTGGGCAGCAGCCGCTCGCCTTCCCAACCTTGCCCTGGGGTCCCTGGAACTGCAGCGCTTACCACTGCCACCCCCAGTGAGCAGCTGCCCCACCCCATGTAATTCCTTGCAAGGCACTGAAGGCACACCACGGTTTACTTTTTTAGGCGCTTTTTGAGACATCAGTATAACGCACAACTCAACAGACGCACACAGCAGATCAAAGAGGAACTGGTGAGTCTGAACGGACCCGACCTCTTGGCGTTTTTTCACCCTCTTTGGAGAAAAGGCATTTTCCTTTGCTCTGTATGTTTTCCATGCTCATCAGAATTAAAGCGCAGTGAAGGATAGGGGAGTGCGGAGCTGCTGCTCAAAGGGTGCAGACTTCCGTTATGAGGAAATCCAGAGAGCTGATGTACAGTTAATAATGCCTATAGTTAATAATGCCATATTCGGGGCTGGGGATTTAGCTCAGCGGCAAAAGCGCCTGCCTGGCAAGCGCAAGGTCGTGAGTTCGGTTCCCGGTACCGGAGAAAAACCTAAAAAAAAAAAAAAAATGCCATATTCTGTGCTTGCAGGGCAAAGGTGTGGCTCAGTGGTAGAGCACATGCTTAGCAGGTACACGGCCCTAGCTTCACTCTCCAGCACTGCTTAAAAAAGTACA